TTTATTGAACATCTATTACATGTCAGGCACTCTCAGACACTAAGGGTACAGCACTGACAATTTTTTATAGAGCTTATATTCTAATGGAAAAAAGACGAACAATACAGAAAAATAGACATAACATTTCTGTAATGATTAATATTACGGAAAAAAACTAAGCAAGATGGGAGGATGAAGAGTGCTGGAGAGATGGAGGGGAAAACATATTTTATATCAGGTGGTCAGGAAAGCCTCTTTGATAAGGTTCAAAGCAGAACCTGAAGAAAATGAGAGAGCAAGCCATTTGCATATCCGGGAGAAGAGCATTCCAGGCCAAGGGCAGGAACATGTTCAGCAGGGTTTGGGAGTAGCCAGCCAGGAGGCCAGTGTGGCCAAGGAGGAGAGAATGAAGGGGAGAGAGGTGGAAAATGAGATGGGGTGGGTCTGTCATGTAAACCAATGTTTTACAAATTATCACCATGACTTAGATTTTAAAAGAATCACTGGCTGCTGCATGGAGAACGGTAGAGGGCAGGAATGGAAGTGGTTACCAAGGCCATATCAGCAGTCCAAGTGAGAACTAATGATGACTCAAATTAGGATATTAGGGGTGGGTGTGGTGAGAAATGCCGAATTCTGGTGTATTTTGAAGGATGACCTGTCATTGTTAATGAATTGGATGTAGATTTGAAAACAGGGTAAAGAACAGGAAGTTTAAGGGTCAGGCCTAGCAGATTTGAATTGCCCATATTCTGCTGGGGGTTGCATTCTCAAGAACTGAGGCTAAAATGCTACAGAGGAAGTAAAAATGAACACATTTCCTCTTTAGAGTTCTGGTTCTGGTTCATGGCAAAGGCTAATAGTATTTTAGCTTATAGCAGAAAAACTAATGGTCTGCTGTAAAAATATTGACTGGCATTCTTGCTCAAAAATGCCAGTTTTGGATAAGTGACATATACCTGTGGAAACTGAAGCCTCTAATTTCTTTCTAACAAGTAGTAGTGCTTATATTAAAGTGACCCCCAAGTAAATAAGCAAATGATTAACTTTGATAATTCCTTTCGGATATAGTGAGACAAATTAGGAAGTGAGTGGTAGTTGCTCCTGTGAACACATATACCTCTCTTACCCTAATAGCTGTCTGTCTTCACCTGTTCTTAAGGGTAAAACAATGTCATGGTTAGAAAGTTAAATAGAACAGCCACTCCCCAGCTGAGTGCCTTCCTTTGCTCTTGGACGGAGGGCAAAGATCATTAAGGACTTCTGCCTTTAGTTCACATGGTGATTTCCTCCATGTCCAAATGACACGCTTGTAGCTCTATGTCTTGCTTTTTCGATTTTAGGCATTATCTGTGAACTCTGTTAGAGTACTTGAGGTTTAGCCTGTTAATGTCCCACCATCCTATTTCCCCCTCCCTTCTCCTCCTATTAAAGTTACAATCCAGTATAATTTGTTCCTCTATGTTAAATTTACTGGAGTAAATTTAAGTGATATTTGAAACATTTTGTTCTATCAGCTAGAGACAGCATCCCTGGATTCCCCACGCTGTAAAGTGAGGGTTTTATCAGAGCTCCAGGCTTTTCCTCTACCTACTTTGTACCTTTCTCTACCTTCCTTCTTTATAGCTCCCAACCTGTTTTGTTAGGAGAGGATTCCACCTGGCATGTTGGATACTTGGATTCCTGTGGGATGTAATTGAAAGAAAGGATCCCCCTACACCTGCTTCTCACTCAAGGAGCTACTGAAATTCCATCTTCTCCAAGAAAGCCTTTTGGGATCTCACTAGGAAACGAGTGATGTGTCTACAATTCTATTAACGAAATGATATGATGGACTAGGAGTCCATGAACTCTTAACCCAACAAACCTTTGGCCTGTCAGGTGATAACAACTCTACAGAAAAACAATCAGCTTTGGCTGTGCCCTAAACAAGCTGAGATTTATTTACTTTTCCCATGCCCTTTCAAGCCAAAGGCTATAAAACTGCTTTAGTAATACAATTCCTGTGAGAACTCTCTAATAGAATTAGTGACATCACTGTGAACTTTCAAGAGAATGTACTTGAAATTTATTGTTCACCTTGAACTTCATATGGATAAGTAAGTTCGTTTAAAAGCAGCTCAATCATTTTGAAAGGAACTGTCTTGGCTGTCATTGAGACTGTTAAGGGGAAGGTTATGAGCTGAGGAGCGGAACGCCCCTGCCACCTAGTGGTTACTCACTCTGAAGCACTGCGGTTCTTTCAATTCACAGCAGAAAAGGAACTGAGTACAGGAAACATCCAGCAAAGTGTTCTGAACAGGGGAAACTTCCATTCCTTCCTCCCTTGTTAAAAAAGGATGTTCGTGAACCTTTTTAAAGTAGTCAAATACTAAACAAGGTATTAATGGGATTAGCCTCTGAGAGCTGTTCTTTGTATAATTGGGAGAATTAACAGCACTGACAAAGGGAGAATGTTGTTCGGTAAACGTGGACAGCCATGGTCTCTAGCATGAAGCGGCAGCTCTATAAGGAAGCAGAAAGTGCAGCAAGTGGGCAGAGAGGGACCACAGTGAGGCAGGACCCTCAGCAGTGGTCACTGCAGGAGGAGCATGGGTCCAGTGGTAAAGCAGAATCAGAAGCAAGGCTGGTGGGGAGAATGGTGATCAAGTCACGTAGACTAAGATTGCTGGTCAGCAACAGCCCTGGAGACCATGGCCTTGGGACTTTAGTACTGCTTGATTCAGGGTAAAATCAGGACACTCAGGGAGCAACAAAAGTAATTAACATTTATGGAGCACGTACTCTGTCCAGGCAGTGCTTTACATGCATTATCTCATAATAGTCCTGTAGAGTAGATATTGTTATCAGCCCTGTTCTACAGCTGATGAGCTTAAGACTAAATAACTAGCCCAAAGTCACAGAGCTGGTAAGGCTTAGAGGCAAGATTTGAATCAAGGCAGTTTGACCCCAGTTCAGGCTCTTCATTACTGTGCTTTCCTGCTTCCCTAGGGGAGAGGGGGCTTGAGGTTCAACCCCTCTAAGTCTACTGACCCCTGTATTGAGGGGTGGTTGTGAATTGGAACTCTGAAGATAGTTAAGATCTGGTCTTAGATCTACTACCCAGTTGTAGGACATTTAACCTTTTAGGAATTAAATTTCCTTAACTGTCAAAT